GGCAAGTGCCCTACCACTGAGCCACCTTCCCAGCCCCATGGTGAATGTGTTTAACCTGAGCTGGGTCACCGCCTGCTCACAGCCTAGCCAGGACACAGCCTCAGTGGAGGAACGATGCCTCCTGTAGTTCAGTCCGTAGAAAGCACGAAACCTCCGAGCATTCAGGTCCTGTTTTGACCCACACACGTTAGCCTACCCCATCACTTTACCTCTGCGCCATGCTCTCTCGATGTTAGAGGACAGCCATGTAGTGCCATGTCACATGGTACAGAGATGCATAGGGAGCCTCTCCCCACCCCTGTGACAAAGCCACCCCACTCCCCAATTAGGGGTCTCAGCACCTTTGCGGTCCTGAAAGACACCTCCCATAAAACAGATGCATTTAAGGTTCAGAGATGATTAGGCCTCGCTCTGGGTCTCTGAGGATCTTACTTGTATTCAAACACTAGAATCCTTGTCACCCTGGTCAGGTGAGCCACGTCAAGCTGTCAGACTTGGGGTTGTGTCCTGTGATGTAAACTGTTTTTGAGAGAGGCAGGCTGTGCATGCACATCACCCTTACCTGACTTCAGTTTCCGGTGTGTGACCACACCTGTGTTAGAGGTGGCTTCTATTGTGTAGGGCCCTAAACACCTCTTCTATGCAAAACATAATACACCCTCAGTGGCTGCAGCTTGGAGGTGCAGATCAGCTGAGGGAGAGATTCTGGGGGCCTTGCAGGGGGCGCTGCCTAGGGTACCCCAGGATTCTTCCCTTCTCAAAACCCTCCCTACTAAGGATGATTTTTTTTTCACATTCCAGACCCCACTGTTCTGGAAAAACCATCTAGCTTCTTTTTGGAGGGGAGAGGGTGGTGGAGTTTGAACTCAGGGCCTGGTACCTGTGGAGCAGGGGCTCTACTGCTGAGCCACGCTTCCAGCCACCACCTAGCCCTTTGCCCATTCCCGTGTCACCACAGCTTTCGTGACACGCAGCCCCCATTTACCAGCCGTACACTGAGAGTCTGGTGCTGGATACTCCGGTCGGAGTGGACCCCAGTTGTAGAAGCTTCTATCTCAGGCCCCTGGTACCCCTCACTCCCAAGGCACTGACACCTATTTCTGATCTTGGATTGCTCGCCTAGGGGTGAGTTTTGTGTCTTTTTTTTTTTTTTAAACAAGGGCTGAGAACCGAACCCACGGCCTTGCGCGTGCCAGGCGGGCGCCCTTCCGCTGGGCTAAACCCCCAGCCCCTAGGGGCGAGTTTTGAAAGCAAGCAAGGGGTTGGAAGTGTGGGTCCATTGATAGAGCACTAGCTGGTGAGGGAAAGAATCAGGTCCTGAGTTCAAGTCCTAATCTCAGACTGAAAGGGGGAAGCGGGGACAGCAAGCAACGTTAGGCTAGTAGGTGGTATCAAAGCTAGGCCCCAGGCCGACTCACCCTGTAGTCAGCCACTGTTCTGGAAAAACCATGTAGCTTCTTTAGGGGAGGGTAGATTTGAACTCGGGGCCTGGCACCTGAAAAGTAGGTGTCCTCCAGGGGACTTAGAGGATCCTCAGGCTAGAGACCCCCACCCTGGTTAAATGACCTAAACCAGTGTGCAAATGGCCCTAGGAGCTTGCAGGAATGGACAGTGTCTACCTAACGCCCAAACTCCACCTCCTGGCACCAGGGGGCGCTAGGGTGGCGGGGTGGGGGTGGGGGAACTGTTCCTGGGAGCAGCAGGCAACCTGAAAAATCTAATGTTCTGGAGGGGCTCATGTTGGGAGGGGGGAGCAGCCACGTGGCTCTCCAAGGAGTCAGTGTGACATGAAGCTATCCAAGATTTAAAAAAAAAAAAAGCTTCTAAAATATTATTTTTGGGAATACTTAGGAAGACTCTAGTGTGACGCCTTTTGCACAAATATTGTGAATCACAATAATCGTGTTTGTCTTCTTTTCCCCTCAGCAAATAAGGAAACATCTGTGGGGGTGCTGATATTTATTTATTTTCCAGGCAGCATTGTAATGGTGGAAATATTTCCTATGTGATTACAGAACCCTAGGACTTTAGTCCTGCCCCGGAGTGAGGACTCCATAGGAAAATAAAACATTCCCTTCTATGGAAGAAGACTTCAACCTAAATCCTTATTTGTCAATCAGGCATTGATGGCTCACGCCTGTAATCCCAGCTACTCTGGAGGCTGAGGATCAAAGTTCGAAAGCCAGTCTACACAGAAAAGTCCATGAGACTTCTCTCCAATTAACCACCAAAAAGCTAGAAGTAGAACTGTTGCTCAAGTGGTAGGGACAACACTCAGGCCCTGAGTTCAAGCCCCAGGACTGGCATGCCCGTGTGCACACACACGCACACACACACACACAGGCCATTGGGAGGCAGTGGAAGCAGAGTTAGTCCGATTTGGGGAGGTTGAGCACCGGTGGTGGGTGCCTTTGGAGGGTATGTTGTGTCCCCCACATCCAATCTCTTCCTTCCTGTACTGGGGTTTGAATTCAAGGTCTTCCACTTGCTAGGCAGGTGCTCTACCCATTGAGCCATGCTTCCACTCAAGTTGATTCCAATATGTAGTTCTTTTTTTTTTTTTCTTTGACAGTCCTGGGGCTTGAACTCAGCCTGGGCGCTGTCCCTGAGCTGCTTTTGCTCAAGGCGAGCACTCTATCATTTGAGCCATGACACCACTGCTGGCTTTTTCTGTGTCTGTGGCACTGAGGAATCGAACCCAGGGCTTCATGCATGCTAGGCGAGCACTCTACCACTGAGCCACCTTCCCAGCCCCCTTTTTCTTTTTCTTTTCCATTAGACAAGTCTTCAAGCTAGGCGCGGGTGGCTCACGCCTGTCATAGTAGCTACTCAGGAGGCTGAGATCTGAGGATCGTGGTTCAAAGCCAGCCGAGGGAAGGAAAGTCCATGAGACTAATCATCCAACGAACCACCAGAAAACCGGAAGTGCCGCTATGGCTCAAGTGGTAGAGCGCTCGCCTTGAGCTGAAGAGCTGAGGGACAGCGCCCAGGCCCAGAGTTCAAGCCCCACGACCGACAAAAAATTAGACTGGTATAGAACCGCGATCCTCAGATCTCAGCCTTCTGATTAGCTTAGCACCTTATCCTCAAAGTTGTCCCGAAAAGCCCAGTCCCGCCCTCCTGAGCGGACCCGGGCTGGGTCGGCGCACGCATGCGTCCCAAATCCGGTTTCTATGGGAACGCGCTCTCGGCTTCTGCCCTGCGCATGCGTCCTTCTTCCAGGTCCGTGGGCAGGGACGTCCTGACTCGGTTTCTATGGGAACGCGCTCCGGCCTCTGCCCTGCGCATGCGCGTTTCGCCCAGGTCCCGGGGGAGGGGGACAGGCGCGGGGTCGCGCGGCCGCCCGGACGCGCGCGTCCCGGCTCCCGGAC